CCAATTGAAGGATCCCCAAATCAGATAGCCCAAAGAACGAAGTCCAATCAAACAAATCAAGATGAAGGCCCAAATAGGGAGGCCCAAGAACGCGGTAACGCCATCACCCAAGTTTGCAAGTCGCCCAGAATCTGAGCGAATGGAGTGTCATACAGTCGCCCAAAGCTGTTACTCTATTCTCGCCCAAACCTTCAAGTCGCCCAAGGTCTTAACAAACATAAAGCGTCGTGGTTATCAAGAAGTGTAGTTATCAAAACAGTTATTAAAGCAACCCTATCACGTTCCACGATTCAAGAAATTCAATCGAAAGCGGTTGAACGATGAAGAGTAATGGCAGCAGTTAAAAAAAGGCAGTTTTCATGACAAGTTGGCCATTACGAAGAAAGTGAGCAGTTATAGGGCGATCAAGCAGTTTTTAGGGCAGTTGATCGTCCATGAAGTATAAAAGGGAGAAGGGACATAGAAGCAAAAACTCTCGAACAGAGAACATGTAATTTTCATTTCCTTAGTTTAGACTTAAACACTTTTCTTTCAGTAACTCGTGTGCTTACGCCCATTGGAGGCACGTTGTTTTTAATTTCCAATTGTAAAGTCATCGCCAATAAAAGAACACCCCCTTTTTTGAGACTTTGTCTCAAGAGGTTTGTCCCTTACACAATCGTCTGATCCTTTTTAATTGTTAGCGACTAACCCGCGCGAAACAATTGGTTGCCTCGAATTCGAACCTGATTGTACACTGAATGTCCACGAGCATGTCCGGGCTCATGATGATGACCCCGACACCTGAGCCCAAGGAGTTTGATGCTCCATCCATGAAAATTTGCCAAACATCTGTTGTAGTGCTCGAGCTATCATCCGGCCCCCGAGGCCTTGGGGTGAGTTCTGCAATGAAATCCGCTAAGGCTTGGGCTTTGATAGACGAATGGGGTTTGAACTCTATGTCAAACTCTCCAAGTTCAATTGTCCACTTTAGTAACCTGCCCGAGACGTCTGGCTTATTAAGGATGTGTTTCAGAGGCTGGTTGGTGGGTACCACAATGGGATGAGACTAAAAATATTGTCGAAACTTTTGTGCTGCCACTATTAGGGCAAGGGCAAGTTGTTCGGTCAAAGTGTACCTGGTCTCTGCGTCAAGTAAATCTTTACTCATGTAGTAAATGGGTTGCTAGGCTCTGTTGACCTCTTTGACCAAGATGCCACTCACTGCATTTTGAGACACAGCTAAGTACAATAACAAAGTATACCTGGGCTCCGGTTTAGTGAGGAGAGGAGGAGACACCAATGTCTGTTTGAGCTCCTGAAAAGCCTTTTCACACTCCTCATTCCATTCAAAGGATTGGCTGCCTCTAAGAACTTTGAAGAAAGGGAAGCACCTGTCCGCTGCTCGGGACATGAACCTGTTCACGGCTACTACCCTACCTGTCAATTTTTGCACCTCTTTCTTAGTCCTGGGCGATTCCATTGCTGTAAAGGCCTGGATCTTATCGGGGTTTGCTTCTATCCCCCGGTGAGTGATCATGAAGCCCGAAAATTTTCGCTAAGCTACACCGAATACACACTGCTCTGGGTTGAGCTTCATCCGATATTTTTGTAGGGTGGCGAACACCTCCTCGAGGTCGGATATGTGACGTTCTACCTCTTTGCTTTTCACCACCATGTCATCAACATAGGCCTCGATGTTCTTCCCTATCAAATCTATAAAGACTTTGTTGATGAGCCTCCGATATGTTGTCCCGGCATGTTTCAACCCGAACGGCATCACCCTATAGCAGTATATGGCTGAATCATCCATGAATGAAGTCTTTTCTTGGTCTTCCTCGGCCATGAGGATTTGATGATACCCTAAGAATGCATCTAAGAAGTTGTACAACTTATGTCTGGATGTGCTATCCACAAGATTGTCTATCCTGGGGAGCGGATAACTGTCTTTAGGGCAAGCCTTATTGAGATCTGTAAAGTCAATGCTAACTCTCCACTTACCACTGGCCTTCTTCACAAGAACAACATTAGCGAGCCAATCGGAGTATTGGACTTTCCTTATGAACCCCGCTCTCACCAATTTGCCGACCTCTTCCTGAATGACCACACGTCTTTCTGGCGCAAACTGCCTCTTCCTTTGCTTAACAGGTTTGGTCCCTGGGCTTATATTGAGTCTATGGACTGCTACTTCAGGGTCTATCCCTGGCATATTCTCGACCTTCCATGCAAAAACATCGATGCTGCGGAACAGACAATTGATGACTTCCTCTTGAAGGCTGGCTTTGAGATCCCGACCAATAGTTACAGTCTTTCCTTGCTTGAGCTCGACCACTTCCAATTCCTCAACCAGGGCAAGTCTACCCCTTGGCTCGAGCTCGAGGTCTGAAAGTTGCATGACGTTTGTACTTATTCCTCGGATGCTAGTAACATAGAACTGTCTGGCAGCTGTTTGGTCATCTCGAACTACTCCGATGCCATGGCCTGTTGGGAACTTCATGGTCAGGTGGAAAGTTAATACGATAGCTTGGATCTTGTTCAGTAGGGGTCTTTTCAGAATGATGTTGTAAGCCATAGGAGTGTTAACCACTTGGAATGGTGTGATTTTCGTGACTTGTGCATTACCAAAACCCAAAGTAAGCGGGAGCTCGATGTTTCCTTCCCGGATAATGACTCCACCACCAAATCCGAATAGAGGAGTTTTGACTGCTTTGAGCTTTTTGGGAGAGATCCCCATTTTAGCGAGAGCCTCATGCGAGAGTATATTTGTTGCACTCCCATTATCAACCAGAATCCTTTTTACTTCGAAGTTAGCCACAATTGCAGAGACGACCAAGGCATCGTCATGAGGATATGACACTCCTTCCAGATCTCTTGCTCCAAAAGTAACATCTTTGAGTTTGTCATGGGATTCCTTTGAGGTATGAGCATGTTGGTAGGCATATTGCTTTCGCCCACTACTTGTGTCTCCTATAGATGCTATGCCTCCAATGATAATATTAATGGTCCCGACAGTGGGTTGAGCACTGCTTCCAGCTCCAGGATCTTTCCGATTGTCACGATCATTCCTCGGGCATTTATCATAACCAATATAATTCCTTAACAACCCTCTTTTAATGAGAGCTTCAATTTCCCGCTGCAAGGCTTGACAATCCTCTGTGGTATGCCCATGATCTCGATGAAATTCACAATACTTGCTCATATCTCTTGTGTCCAAGGGCGACTTCATTCTTGAAGGCCACCTTAACTCTTTCGTATCTTTGATCTCCATTAAGATATTTGCCTTGGAGGTGTTCAACCGGGTGAGAGGCCCTGGTGGCCCTTCATTCTTGCGCTTTTCCCGAGGATGGTCTTGTCGAGAAATGGGAATCATGTTGCTTCTTGCTCTCAGCCTTTTCATAAGAAGGACCATATCTCCTTGGATTCAGCATTTCCTCCATATTAATGTATTTTTCAGCTCGAGTGAGGAGCTTGGTCACTGTTTGTGGCGGGGTCTTTGATAAGGAAATCTTGAAAACTTCACACCTTATGGCGTATGTGAGGGTAGAGACAGCCGTTGTAATGTGAAGGTCAAGTATTTGAAGTCTTTCCTTGTTGAACCTCGTCATAAAAGGGTTTCATTTGGTCCCTGACGAAGTTGCATGGGAGAGGCCGCAGTCTTTCTGATTCTCTTGCTACTTGCAAAAGAGGCTGAGAACTTATCAGCCAAATCTGAGAATAAAGGTATGGAGTTGGACTCTAATGTTGAGAACCAATCCCTAGCAGCATTAGTCAGCGTTTGCGGGAAGGCTTTGCACATAACTTGATTTGGCGCAACTTGCAAATTCATGACATCGGTGTATACATTGAGATGGTTGATTGGGTCGATCGTCCCACCATACTCTTTAATACGAGGATATTTGAATCTGTCGGGCAGGGGATATGACAATAACATAGGCGTGAATGGGGTGTTAGGTGTAAAACCCATTGGCCCCCGAGCATTCCGTTGCAGGCTAACTGTAATTCCTTTTTGAATGATCCGGGCAATCTCTCCGTAATCCATACCAACCGACCTTAAGCCCGAGGCTATATTACGAATACCTGGGGTTCCTACTCCGCCAGTTGCGGGGTTTGTTGGTCAGATAAAACCACCATGATCTGCCCGCGCTGGTGACGGCTACGAATTTCTTTGACTCAACAGTTGCGTTAGCGTGGAAACCTACTGACGTAGCTCTTCGAAGGTTTCAGTCGTGACGACTGCTTGTTGGGGTGTGAGCACTCCTGACGACTCTTCTTGAAGAGCTGATTGATCTTTAGTAAGATGAGGGATGGGAGCGGATGGGCTTGCGGGAGGAAGACCTGATCGCGTGTTAACCATGGCTTTTGGTAGCGCTTCCCATAGACGACGTCAATGATGCTACCAAAAATTGTACATGTTGATTTCCCGAGTTTGAGGAGTTTGAATGAGCACGATCGTAGTCTTCCGATACCTAAAACAAAGGCAACGAGGTATGTTCTCGTCGCCCCTTCGATACTTAAGTCAGAAAGGGAATTATGTGCGTGAGGCTATACATTGAGAATAATGAGAACGTACTTGAATAATGTCCAAGGTTAGTATTTATAGAGGTGGGTAGTGTACTCCTAGTAGGATTGTGCCAATTGGACATATTTATCCAATGGAGTCCTGTTTGGGAAGAATGTCTTATTCATAATAGAATTTTATGACTAGTGGTGTTAGAGTTGATAAAGAGTCCTTGGAGGTTTAGGTGTCTGTTCGTCGGCCATATACATATATCTCGAGGAACTCTCAATGAATACTGATTCGAGAACATATTCTCGAGGAAGTAAGAGGTGAGTTTCCATGATCGTGTGAGCAATTCCTCGAGGATTAAAATAGTCGTCGAGGACTACCATATCTCGAGGACCTCTTGGTAGAAAAGTGGGACGGAACATGTGGGCAGTCCTCGAGGAATAGTCCTCGGGTATGCAATATTGGTACTATCATTTGGTAATTTTTTACTTAAAAGTGAAGTAGACTTGTTTTAAGGTTTGGCAAACATGTTATATACGGATGCTCGCAGTTGCGGCGGCGTCCTGCTTGCAGTAAACTCCCTTCCTTTATCACCGCCAACCGCCCACAGCCACCCCATCTTTCTCCCTGGATACGGGACACATGGCAGTCTCAAGTGAGTCCGCCCCCCACCCGGGCCAACCTGAGAACCCGAATCCCAGGGATCCCACCCCCGAACCCGACGACCTTGATGATTTCGAAGCAGAAATCGAAGAAGAAGACAACGATGAATCAGACGAAGGCGACGAAGAAACCCAACCCATAACTCCGGAGGCCCAAATGCGTACGGATCGGGTCAGTATGGAGTCCCTTTTCAAGCGCCTGTCCACGGAGCGAGTCCCAGTAAGAGTGCACGATGTTTTGATAAAGGGCAACACGAAAACCAAAGATTCAATCATCGAGGCTGAGATCGAGGAACTGCTGAAGAACGCAACCACGGTACAACAGCTGCTCCAGGCTGCGGGTGTTGCCAACGCGCGGCTGCAGCGCCTAGATATTTTTGATTCTGTGAACATTACTCTTGACGCTGGCCCGCCCGAGCTCCCTGGCACTGCCAATGTTGTGGTGGAGGTTTCAGAGGCCAAAAACCCGCTCACCGGTGATGTAGGGATTTTTTCCAAACCCGAGGTAACTATTGTATGATTGTTGATGTAAGAACTATGCTCACATTGATAAACTCTTCATTTTGTATGTAAATGTTATAGTGGAAATTTAGTTTATGCCATATGCGTGGGATATTTAGTTTTTGAGTTTGCCAATTGCTCTCCGGTTGAATATGACAATGTGAATAGTAAATTATGCGTATCAATAGCAATGGGATGTATGGGGTTAATGGTGTGTGAAACTAGAATTTTCACATAGCTGCATTCGAGAGTGTGATTGGAAGTCGTGGAATTTTTTGTGAACTCGAAGTTAAATAGGCTAGTTTTGAGAAGGGATAGAAGGAAATTCTTGCAGGAGTTCAACAACATCTAACTCGAGCAAAATGTTTGTAAACTTTGTTCGACAAAGTCACATTTGATTAATTATTTCTATACGATAAAAAGTAAATATGTTGAATCACTTGGTAGAAAGCTAAAAACAACTAATTTGTGCTAAAAAGGGCAATGGTTGATTTGTATACAGTGAGCATTAAGAGAGTCAGATATACTAACATGAAATTGACCCAATGCTAGCTCAAGATTCTCATTTATTTAAGTTTAATTTTGTAGAAGTGGTTTGAAATTCACTCTCTATTTGATATTTGATGTTATGATGCACTTTTGTAGGCTAGGTCATGGTCTCTTGAAGGATCTCTTAAGCTGAAAAATTTGTTTGGTTATGGAGATTTATGGGATGGTTCCGTGGCTTATGGCTGGGGTCAAGCATCAGAGGTTAGTGCCGGAGTCTCTGTTCCCAAATTCAAAGCATTGGCCACACCTTTAACAGCTCGAATATCTCTTCTTTCCCAAGATTGGTTGAAGTTTTCTTCTTATAAAGAGCAAGCACTGGGCATGTCACTTGGCCTATTATCCATTGGGAATCATGATGTGTCATATAATCTCTCATGGCGTACCTTAATCGATCCATCTCAAATGGCTTCTCACTCAGTTAGGAGGCATCTTGGACATGGTCTGCTTTCAGCCTTGAAGTACACATTTAAAATTGACCAGCGAAATTCACCTCTAAGGCCAACTCGAGGATACGCTTTCCTTTCCACGACACACATCGGTGGTCTTGTTCCAGACAATCGAAGCTTGCGTTTTATTCGTCAGGTTTGACTATTCTTTATATTTCCTTTGTTTATTTATCAATCAGAGACGCCTTCAAAGTTTCTTTTGTATTTTTGCTTGAGCCTCATTACAGTTTAATCAATTTATCTCTTCTGATTTTGATATCCTATAATCCATGACATGATTTTATGTTTTATTTAATATGGCATGACCTATCAGGTATCCCCCCTAACTTGAGGTCAAACTTGAAACTGAAATTCACAGCACAAACACACATGTATTGTTGTTGACTCCACATGCTTCGGAATGTCTTCCACTCTAGAATATATGATGCAATTACCAGCCAATATGCATGAGATGTTGGAAGACATCCTAGTGTGATTGATAAAATTCATGCCCTTCTATGACCTTGTATTTAACTTTCTTTTTTTTTTAATTTGATGCTTGGTATTTTCTGAACAGGAATTTGATCTTCGTTATGCTGTTCCTTTGGGATTTTACCATGCTGCTTTGAACTTTGGAATCTCAGGTGGTTTTATTTTCCCATGGGGGAGAGGGTTCTTGAATACACCTTCATATTTACCGGAGAGGTTCTTCTTGGGTGGTAATGCTTCTCCAGTTTGCACCTTGGGGGGCCCAACATCAATTTTAGGTTTCAAAGCAAGGGGACTAGGCCCTGCTGAGCCTAGAAGGCAAGAAAGAAGAAACTCTAATAATGAAAGCTCTTATGCGTTTACTGGAGTGGATTTTATTGGAGGAGACCTTGCTGTCACGGCTTTTGCAGACTTGTCCCTTGATCTTCCCTTGAGGGTGCTTAGAGAAGCTGGTATCCATGGCCATGCTTTTGCCTGCACTGGAAGCCTGACTAAATTAACGGAAAATGCATATCGAGAATTGTCAGTACAGAAATTGCGAGAATCCTTTCGATGCTCAGCAGGATTTGGCATCATTGTACCCACCAAGCTATTCCGTATGGAGGTCAGTCTTTTGCCATGAAATTAATCATTGAATTTTGTTGACTTTGGTAAAAGACGTTGCCTCAAACCACCAGTTGGTAGGATAATTCGTTTCTAAATAGGCCATCTTTTATCTGTCAGAATATGCTTTATCTGCAGTTTAAAAGATAAAAACGGAAAAGGGAGATAATCAATAAATTTCTTTCCTGGGAGTGTCAGTTTTCATGTTCTTGAGGTCCAGCAGAGAGTAAATTTTCAATTTTTTTATTTTGGCATTGATATTCCTTGAACATTCACGAGACAAGCTCTACTATCAGATAATAAAGATTGTGAATGATATTCAACTGGTAATGTTTATATCTTTTTCACCATAAATAGTCAATAAGTACTTCAGAGAAATGGCTAATAAATTGACTAAGATCCATAAATAACTAGAGATCGAACAGGGAAAGAAAAGCAGCAAAAGAACTTGGAAAACTTTAAATTCATATTTTATTTTATTTTTCTGGAAGAAATATGGATTAAAACCAGGACAATAATAATCCGCTTGAAGCACTTTTGTAGTCCTAAGAAGGATTTATTGTGTCTTTTATTATATGTTTAAGTACTTGTGTGATATCTCTGACAGCTTGATCCATTATCATCAGGTTAACTACTGTTACATACTGAAACAACACGAACATGACCAAGGGAAGACTGGTGTGCAGTTTAGCTTCTCTTCACTATAATTCCTGTTTGGTAATTTTGTCCCTTTCGTGATATCCAATGACATTGAATTGAACTCAAGGATTTATGTGCAAAAGGTAAATGACAGAAATTTTCCCATTATAACCAACCAGCCAATTTAGGCTATTTCAAGATTTGTAATTTTAAATTTAGGCAATTTTGTGATTCACCTTTACAAATAAATAAGATTTCCAAGTTATTAGCAAAGGTGGGTTTTGACCTTTAATTCAAATTGTTAGATAATTTAATTTTTAATTTTAAATTTATCTGCGGTGCCCACTGTATCCTATTTCTCTGTGAGATAAAGTTTAATTTTTAATGAATGTCGTCCTTGGAATCTTTTCATGAACACTTATTTTCTTGACATGCTTTCTGTACTATCTTGGGAAAAGAGTGCATGAAAATTACAACTTCCGGGGATTGAAGTAAAGAAAGTAACATAAACTTTGGATAATTTATGCTTTGATGTTGGCTTATATGTACTTCATAAGGATAGACTGGAGCTTTGAAAGTGGCACTAGTTTAGGCAAATAGATTTATCTTTACACAAATGGTAGATAGGTAGTTGTGCAATGATTGTAACATTAGTTTAAGTGAGATTCTAATTGTGTAAGATTGGTTGATGATGCTAGATATGATCAATAAGAAATGAAAAGTTACCAGAGAGGTTCAAGTTTTTAGAAAAATGTGGTGGAACTTTCCAGGTGAAATAAGAAATGAGATTTCGGAAGGTATAATAATGCTATGAATGACCTAGTATTGAATACGGGTAATAATATCGGCAACAGTTTTGGTTTTGTGCAATATTAGTTTATTAGAGAATGTGTAGTTGATAAAACGAGATAAGAAAATGAATTATAATTTAATGTGAAATCAAGTGCCTACAAGGATAGAAGTGTTGACTTAACGAGGTGGCATAATAATGGAACAAGGTTGAAATGGGTGTTTAAGACTAAATGACATATTGTAGAATTACTGAAAGTATAAAAATGTGAAGGCTTTGAGAAGCATAGGTTAGCTGAATGCTATGAAGCGCGAGTAGCGTGTTCGTATTCGATATATGATGTGTCATGTTGGACACTGACATTCTTTGAGCAACGCAAGATATGTGTTTGACAAGCAATGTGATATTTCCTATTTTCATATTTTTTTACATTTTGACACTTGTAGAATAAGTATACTCCTCAGACATGCCCATCTGTTGTACTATAATAAAAAGTATAAATAAACTTATCATTTTTAGCTTTAAAATTTTGAATAATTTAAATTTTCACGTTCCCAACGTGTTCATCTTACTTTTTTTACCCCCCCAAAAAAAATTAAAAAAAAAATCTTGTGTTGGAGTGTTCATTATTAGTAAGATATTGCAATAAAGGAAAAGTATAGAGTTGAATTACGTCAAGTGCATTGAGTGCAAAAACTAAAGATGTTTCGTCTGGTGGCTGTGAAATCACATGAAGATGGAAAGAATTATATTTACAGGGGTGATTTTGTACGCATCTTTTTTCCCCAAGAGGTCAAAACTTTATGAAAGGACATCAGCTTTTATATAACATGCGGTTTAAAGTCGTTATAGCACTTCCTCTGCTATGCGACAATTCTTGCTTCAAACATGTTGTACGCTACGATGAAAGCAAGTAAAGTCGCCTTACAACGACATTTTTATCCTGATGTACGACAAATTGAAGAAAAAATTGGAAACAGAAACTGCAGAGAATCTTAATTCTTCGAGGTAAACTTCATTAGCTGTCATGGAGCTTTCAGCAAAAATTCAATTAAATCACTAGGGTCTAATTTACTCACAAATGTAACCATCTTGTCACATTTCGTTGCTAAAAGTTTAAGGTTCGACCATTAACTAGTGTAATTTTTCTTAGCCCAACCTTGGCATATGCTTCAAGCATCTCGTCTTGTACTCCTGCGTTGATTCAACATTTCTGTTGGTCCCAGAGTTAAAATATTATGTATTTTAGAATGAATAGTTATACAATAAAAACTGCAGAAACGTAAAAACTCGAACAAAAAGAACATCAGATATGTTTTACTCCAAAAGGAGTCCGGATGTTCAGTCTAAAGGACCTAATCACCCGTTGAGCTTCAATCAAGAGTATGCTTGAGATTCCACTAAGTTTCAGAAATAAATTGTACAAAATGTTTGAAGAAATCAAGGATTTCTTCGATTTTATCTAGCCTTCTTTCTCACACAAAATTCCTCTTAGAGATCACACACAGATCACTCAACCTTCCCTTTCTAACAAAAGAAGAGATTACATCTCAAAGATTTAGGTTTCAATGTACAGAGAGAAAGAACACGAAGAACCCTCACACAGAGAGAGAAAAGAGAATTCTAGAAAACTGAAAGACTATCTCGTCGAAAAGACCAAGAGTCAAGTGAAGTATCAAACCACTGAACCATCTCCATCCAACGGTTGGGGGTGTGCCACGTGTACGGCACACCCCAACCCATTTAGAGGCAAAAACTTTATTATCCAAAAACACGGTTTTACAAAATAGATTGGGCCTGAATTATTTCCAAAAAAGATATAGCCCAAATTACAGCCTAATCGACTTTTAGTATCCCAATTTCAGAAATCAAAGAATACCTTTCATATTTCAATAATCAGGTTTTAATTAGTATTTTTTTATAGTTAAAAAAAGAGTTATTCATCCTAATTAATACCGCAATTTATGTTAAAATGATGAAAAGAATTTTTAATTTAATAAACTATATCTCTTCCTTTATTTCATTCTATAGTCGTATGCACTCTTCAGTTAATCTCAAAGTGCCTAATTAAAATCTACAAAATCCTCCCTATCAGTTTGCTATTTGAGAGGAGCGAAGCAGTGTCAAGGTTTGTAAATGGGATCCTTGTAAAATGGCTATTACAAGGAGTTGTGAATGGAAATCACGATCCAAAGCAGGCGAAGCATTTGAAAGTGAAGAAGGCCGAAAGTCACAAACGGAGTTCGTGAAGAAACCCCCAAAACTGCGATTGAAACGCGAAAACCCAAATTGAAGGAGGTAAGTTAATTTTGTTTCCTTTGAGATTATGGGTAATTCACTTTTCAAATTTATTAGGTGAGTACGTACAACTAACTATAAATTTGGTTGGAAAATTTTTCAATTCAAGAAATACGGTTTATATTGCTAAATATTATGCATATCTATTACCGTCTGAAAAATAGTGTTTCATGTTCGTCTGTGACCTATTAATATGATCCTTGTGACCAATATGTTTTGTGACTATAATGGTGGGTGTGTCCAATTTGGATTGTTACCCGATTACATGGAAAATAATGTTTCATTTTTTTACTTGGGTTTTGTGAGTAATCAACAGAGATGAAAAATTAGACAATCTTTCATGGTGGGTCCTAATCAACTACATTGAGTGCTGTTAATTTCAAATGTATGGAATATGTATTGTGACCAACAATATGAACAATATAGAATGTATGGAATGTGTAGTGTGTTTCATTTTCGTTTGTGACCTATTAATATGTTCCTTGTGACCATTATGTTCTGTGACTATAATGGTGGGTGTGTCCAATATGGATTGTTACCCGGTTTCATGGAAAATAGTGTTTTCATTTTTTTCATCTGGGTTGTATGAGTAATCAACAGAGATGAAAAATTAAGCAATCTTTCATGGTGGGTCCTAATCAACTATATTGAGTGCTGTTAATTTTTCAGATTTTACTTCATATTTTATTTAATGTGATGCAGGAATGGAAATATATGAAATCCATGCCGATGACGTTTGATGCTAGTTGAGCTAGGATGGACATTGCCCAATTACTCTTTAAACAAAAGGAAATCAAGAAGCCGACAAAGCCGATGAAGCCAAAGGGAGAGAGCATTCAAATATATTGATTGTGGAATCCCAGTTTAGTGACTAGTAGATGTGCGATGTTTATGAATGTTGGAAACATGATGCATGAATATTTTGAATCATTTATGTTCATGAAATAGACTGGAATTGTGGTTGCTCACGTGTCTTTCGATTTTGTAATAGTTTCGCGTTTCTACTATTATTTGAATGTTCCATATGACTTACACTCTATCAGGTCACATGTCTTTTATTATCATATGGATGTTATAAGGCAATTGTTAATCACTGGTTAAAATGTCACAGATTTGTTTGCCCAAGTCACAGGTCACATATGATCATGTCTATGTTCTAATTCAATTCTTAATCAAAGGTCACGGATTTGTTTGCCCAGGTCACAGAATTGTTTACCCAGGTCACAAGTCACATACTTATTTACCTAGATCACAAGAAACGATTTTGTGTACAAAGGTGACATGGTTAAAAATTTTTAATTTATGATCAAATGTCACAATTCACATATTTGTGTACAAAAGTCAGGGCTCATAGGCCGTGTGCACAAGTTACAATTAACATTTGCACACTCAGGTCACAGATCTTTGTGCATGGGTCACATGTCATAGTTTTAATAGGGCATCAATATCTGAAGATCACAAAATAATTTAATAATATTGTCAAAGGTCACAGTTCTCTAACTTTAAAGCATACGATATAAATCATTGGTCACAGATGTTATTGCGACCAACATCTACAGGTCACAATCTACGTATGATATGATCCGTATGTCACAAATACCTTATTTCAATACCATAATCTCAGATTTAGTAGGTCACAGATCCCACGACAAAAAACTCCATAGGTCACAAGTGATTTTATAACATTACTCGTATGTCTCCGATGTTGGGTATCAACAGCAAATCCCAATACTGAGGTTAGCATTCCATTATTTAATTTCATTGGTCACAGAACACGTTGTGTAGGTCACAGATTATACATGCATAGTCATTTTCCAGTGTTCATATTCATATATCTATCAAAATAGTTACAGATTATTCAGATATGTGACTGTCACTAATTCTTCTAATCTTAAAAAGCCTGTTCTCCCCAACCTTGACGATCTGCAAATACAGTTGCACCCCTCATGCGAACACTTGACAAGATATTCCTTCCCATCTAAACGAATGACCACAAACTCAAACATGTTTTGAATGACATAAAAGACATGCTCAACTTCAGGACCTCCTTATTACAAAACACCCTACCCTCTTCTACATTTCTTGCTTCAGGTTCGAGGACAATTGTGACCACATATACATCATCGTGTACAGATGGTTCGACTACTGCTTCGCAAATGTCGTATGATAGTTCCTATAGTGAAAACAACGATCCTTTGGAAGATAGATTATCTTCAATAGGTCCAGTAATTAGGTAAATGATAGATTGTTGTTCGAATTTTG